GAACTCCTTCAGACACGTTGGATTGTCTACCTTCAGTGTGAGAACTACTAATGTTTCAAGTATTGCAGGGTCCGAAGCTCCATTCTGGAAGGTACTTGCTACCAACTTCCAAAGCTCTTCTCCCACAATCGGCCAGTATTGTTTGTAGAAGAAGGGTTGGAAACCATCAGGGCCAGGCGCAGTGAAGGATTTCATAGACATGACAGACCTTCGAACCTCTTCTCGAGTGACTGGAGCAAGAAGCAAAGATATAGCATCTGTAGCAAGCTGAGGGGGAGACCCATACTGGAATTCTGAAGCAGGAGGTTGCACCTCAGAAGAAAAGAGTTGGGTAAAGAAGCGGAGGGCCTCATCTTGGAGTAAGGAAGGGTCAGTCTGCCAAGTACCATTGGGAAAAAAAAGACCTCGAACCTTATTTCTTCTTCTTCTGGATAACGTTTGGGCATGGAAAAATTTTGAGTTTCGGTCACCAAATTTAACCCACTTCTCTCTAGATTTTTGGAACCATAAGAATTCTTCTTGGAGGGAAACTTCATTAAGTTCCACTTGTAGAGTCTTCTCTAATCGCATTAGGCTTTCAGATCCAGCACGCTCAAGTTCCAGTTGCACTCCATGAAGACACGCTAGAATTAGCTTTTTCCTTCCCAGAATGTTCCCAAAGATTCGTTTGTTAAAGATGAGGGCATCATGTCTGACAGCATTGAGGCCATTGATCAAGTTGGGAGTTCCACGAGCCCAAGCATCTCGCACAACTTTCTCAAAGCCACGATGGGTGGCCCAAGCAGCTTGGAAACGGAACGGCCTCATTCCTCTCTTCGTTGGAAGACCATCACACCGGATCAGTTGAGGGCAATGATCAGAATACACTCTACAAATATTCTCCACGAAAGCCTCTGGAAACAACTGTTGTCAGTTAGTAGTCGCGAGGTTAAGGTCTAGCCGCTTGGCCATGTTCGATCCCAATTGGCTACGGAACCATGTAAATTTGTTCCCTTTGGCCCCAAGGTCCATCAGAGAGCAATCATCAATGACTTGATGAAATTCAGCTGCACGCGAACGAGAAAACTGACCACCCCTACATTCAGAGGGCGATAACACCTCGTTGAAATCTCCAAAAACGAGCCATGGTTCATTTTCCAGATAACATAGTCCTCGGATGTGGTCCCACCCAATTTTTCTAGTAGTGTGCTAAGGACTTGCATACACCGCAGTGCATACCCACTTTCTCTGACCTAGTGAGGCTCGAAATGTAATTGTTTGGTTAAAAATCGCAATCTCCTCCGTGGTAAGGCCACAACCACGGTCCACTAACACCCAGATACCGCCAGCATGGCCCGAAGTAGCCACTTGAAAATGCAAGTCAAAGTTCAAGTTTGACCAAAACGAAGCTACTGTAGAGAAGTGACAGTGAGTTTCTAGTAACACACAAATGGATGGATGATACATCTTAATCAACTCCTGCGTACGGCGACGCCCTTTTCCGTTGACCGCGCCCCTGATGTTCCAGCAAAGTATATTGATGTGATCCATAAAGGTCAACTAAGTTGGAACGATACGATGGATGGTTAATCCACCATAGCCACCCCTTCTCCAGAGGTGGTGAAAAATTCATCTGTTGTTGGCTCCGTCTCCTCCTCCTCCCGCATGACCTGATCAGGTGCTTCGTCTTTGTAGCTAAACATTCTGCCTCGTGTGTGTGTAAAAGGAAGAGTGGATTTGAGAGGAGGAGGTAGCTTTCTATTACCTTTTAGGCCATATTGTACCATCCCTAACTGATCCTGTTGTAGTGATGGGGAATCCGGAGAACGACCCCATTTCTTTTCAACCCTAGGGGCTGTCATGTATTTGTTTGTATCCA